AGTAATGTGAACAATACACAGACACTTCACACAATAAAAATGTAGTGTACACTGTGGGAATACTGAATATAGAAATAAAAATCAATCTGTAGACAACTAAAATTAAGGAGAAAGATAATTAAAATGAAGCAAAAATATATTTCTGAAGCCACAGCAAAAATTCATTGTAAGAAAAGAATGTGGCTGGCCCGGGGTCTTTCTGAGAAGCCATTGACAATGACACTGGGACTAGTTTCCTCGGCATATACTGGATTTTTGGGATCCAGTCTGTTTGGATACTCACCTTCCTGGACCTGGAGGGAGGGACGAACTTGAACTTCCCACAGGGCTTGAAACCCTGACTGCCCTTAGGGACAAAGAGGGAGGAGGAGAGGGAGGGGGGAGTGGGAGGGTGTTGGGAAGAGGGGCATAAATGGAATCTTTTATAATTTAATAAAATTACTTAAAAAAAAAGAAAAGAAAAGAACTGCAGCAAAAGTTAGTAGAATAACAGGAACCATATGAAGAAACATTTAGGCTTCTTGGCTTCATTTTGTTTTTTTTATCTGTGCCTCACCATGTACACTATGTGCATGTGTGTGCATATGAGCATTTGTGCACACACATGTTATTATGTATGTAAAAATACTTTCGGGGCATTCTGCCAGGCTTGCTAACCCACAGAGTTCGTCTGTCTTCTTTTCCCATTGCAACATGGAAAGAGTAGGTTAGAGCAGCCTGCTGCCTCAGGCTTTACACAGGTTCTGAGAATCTGAACTCCCAAACCCATGATTGTATGGCAAGTCCCTTATGCACTGAGCCTCCTCGTTGTTTCGGGGAAACTTGTTTTTTTTAAGTAATAAGAAACTAATTAAGGAATCTAGACAAAGAATGGAGAGAGGAATATTAATCTGGCTTAAGTATAAAGATAGAGGTACCCCAGGGTAAGAAATTAAGGAAAATAATACTAATGGGATCAAAGGTTAAAATTATGAAATCTGAAATTAATAAGAGATAAACTGAAAAAAATTGGCTTATTAAATAGCCTAAATATTCCTAGGGCATTGAGAAAAATAAAAGGAAAACAGGCTACACATTAAGAAAATATAATATCTAATTAGAAATGTAAAATGCATAAATATAACGAAAATAGAACACATTGTAACCATTGTGTACTGAGTACCAGAAACTCTACACAAAAAGCAACACAGACAGTGGAAATATCCCTTTTAGGCTGCAATATTCAGGGTAAGATAAGAGTGACTTGGCATTTTCAAGATTTGTTTTAAAATCTGGACAATCCTATTTCTTGCCCAGAGTGACCTTTCTTGTTCTTCTCTAACAGAGATTAACTGTTTCCACTTCTCAATTAGGAAATTGTCAGGAGTGTTATTATGATTTTGTCTCAACATGTCAATTCTTTTTCAATTTAATACTCTATTTCTTGGGTCAGCCTCCAAACAATTCCTTGGGAGTTTGACTTTCCATCTAGGCCACCCAGAGATTAATTATGTAATATAGTCTCTTTTACAGTATCTGTTATTACAGGGTGAGCTTGGGGCAATTGGCACCTGAAGTGACACGTGTGAACCAGTAAATGGAGGCTACAGAGGCACTCTCAAAATCATACACCAGTTACTGATCTGTAAGAGGGAAAGATATAGAAACATATTTGATGTGTATGTGTGGCCAAGGTTTTCTAAAAATATTTTAAGCAAAGACAGTTATTCATATATTTAGAGAGTGTTAAAAGTATAAAATAAAGTATCTTGAGCAATTTTAACCATTTGAAATGGCAAAGAGAGCAGTGTTCTGTGTGCTCTTCAAAAAATGTTTCTCTAAACATTTTATTGAGGAATTGATGTTTATATAGGCTAGCTAATAACAATATATTAACATCTCTCAATTTGAGCTTAGGAAGTAGAAGGTATGATCCAAACTGCCCCGATTACAACTTTTCTGCTTTGTAGTCACAAATAGCAGGTAAATACAAATGAATTTCTTAAAAACACTTTTTGTCTTAGACAGAAAGTGAGCAGCGGTTGTTGCTGCTCTTGAGATATCACCAAACTGTCATCAGATGTCTGAAACTGTTTTTCCTTTATGTCCCAACAAAACAAAAAAGCCCATTTTATCAAATTATTACTAATTGCTTGTCATTTCAAACTCTTTTGCCAACCCAATATTGTTTAATTACCGCCTCTGCTATGAAATTATTTTCTGTTATTAGCCATTCATATTCATATGAAAAAAGTTTGTACATGTCTTTGAACATTTTCCTATTAATTAGATGTTTGCTATTGGCTGCAAGTATTCTTCGTGTATTAAATTAAGGAAGACTATTGACACTCACTTCCTTGACTTTGTTCATTAGATTTCTACTGCAATTGTTCCCAATTATGGTCAAATTCTCCAGTCTTACAAAACACTTCTCAGTTTGATATTTATAGCTTAAAAACATGTGCCAAGTCTCCAGAAACAATTCTTAAAGGTAATTAAAACATTTTATTTTATTTTAATTGTCTATTTTTTATTTTATGTACATATGTGTTTTGCCTGCATGAGTTTCTGTGTGAAGGTGTCAGAACTCCTGAAGGAGTGGCCAACAGTTGTGAGATGATATGTGAGCCCTGGGAATTGAACCCTGGTCCACTGGTAGAACAGTCAGTGCTCCTAACTGCTAAGCCATCTATCCCACCCATGTCATTTTACTTTACACACTTTACTTTTCATTAACTATTTTGCTGTAGAACAAAAGTAAAATTTTACTTTGACGTTTTGCTAAAACTTGGCCAATCTTAGTAATTACTTAGTACATCATTTTTATCATATATGTAAACATTTATTTGGAATGATTTCCAGATAATCTTGGATAGCTTTAATGTATTACTTCTTACCATAGCAATTTCAAACTTTACAAATTATAATGAGATTGTACTATATTTTAATGACAATGATAGTTATCTGTCTTCTTTCATTATACATATTATTTGCAAAACTCCAAATATTTGATTTTTTTCATATTAACATTAGCAGATTTCCTTAAGTTGACAAAAATTTTAATATTTTAAAGATGCTACAATTTCTCATGAATTGGTTTAGAGGTGATTGTTTTGTTGATGTGTTTAAGCATGCATAAATATGCTTGGATAAAATGACTCTAACATCAAAAATCTCAGTTATATGTCCCAATTAAAATTTAAATTTATCTTCTGTAATTTTTTTCTAGGATGTATGATCCACATAGAATGAATGTTTATAAATTATTTTGCTATAATGAATGGAAAATTTCCATCTACTATATTTTTTGCATATGAACTATTAACTTATTATTTTTCGTCATTTAAAAGACATCATTTTACTAAAATTTCATACTTTATTATAAACAGTTATATCTGTACCGGTGTTTCTTAGACTTTCCATATACATCATACAAATATCAAATAGTCTCACTAATACACTGTATTTAACCCCATTCATCTTTTTCTCTCATCTCACCATGAAGATGAAATTCTCTAGCAATTTTACACTAATAGTAGTAAAAAACAGTCATCATTCTCATTTCCAACTCTACTTTGAAATCTCTATTATAATTGTTATGAGTTTCTTTGTGTGTCAGAGGAAAAAAATCTATGCCTTCCTTTTAAGCACATTAATATTTTTGCTAAATTTTCTGAACTTAAAATATGATGCTATCATTTTCCCCTTTAACTTTCCTTACTTTAGCCCCTCCCATGACCACTTGCTCTCCCTCTTTCAATCTCTCCCTCTTTCAATTGCATGGCCTTTTGACTCTTTTTATTTGTTTGTGTGTGTGTGTGTGTGTGTGTGTGTGTGTTAGTATGAATTTCATTTATATGTTCTGGAATTTTGCCTTGACATATGGCTAAGATCTAAACCTGTGTTTCTAACAGGTACAATAAGATTATATTACATGGTTTTTTGTTTTGCTTTGTTTCTGCTGTTGATTTTTGTTATTGTTTTGTTTTTGTTTGTTTGCATTCAAGACAGGGTTTTTCTATGTAACAGCAGCTCTTTAGACCAGGTTAGCGTCAAACTCAGAGGTATGCTTGCCTCTGCCTACTGAGTACTCATATGATGTGTTAATATTTTACCAGAGTCCAATATATAAGTTTGTAATTTTATCGGTAGCTATTCAGAAGTAAGCCTACATTACTTCTTTTTGTATAGTTTTTAAAGATTTATCATTCTCTCTGTAAGAAATGTTCTAGCCAGGCAGTGGTAATACATACCTTTAATCCCAGCACTTGAGAGGCAGAGGCAGGCAGATCTCTTTGAGTTCAAATACAGCCTGCTCTTCAAGAACTAGTTTCAGGACAGGCTCCTATGCAATAGAGGAGACCCCTACCTCAAAAAAAAAGGAAAAGAAAAAAGAGAGGACAAAAAGCTCTCTAAGATTATTTCTGAACTGTTGCAACGTTTCTACAGACAGGGACAGTCTGAGTTGTACAGAATTCTCTGCACTCTAACATTTTTAGATAATGTGTGTTTGAACACACTGAGCTGTTTGTGGGGCTTCTCCTCTTTGGAAAGATTCTCCATTTTGTACAAGCCCATGTGTGTCTTCTGAGTTTAATTTTCTGGTATGTATGTCCTCTTAGAAATTTCCATTTTATTCACTCTTTGTACTTGCACAGACTTAAATAAAGCATAATTATGGAAGCCATTTAATTTCCTCTTTTGCTGTGAGTATCCTATTTCATTTCCAATCCATATGTGTGCTTAACTCTCATAAATACTACTAGTTGTCTTTTCTTTGTCCCATCCTTGCCTCTAGAAAATGGTTTTTACCAACTCTACATTCTATTTTCATTTTATTTTCAATAATGTATTACTTCTATATTCTGTAAGTACATATCATTGCTGTATTGACAACTTTTAAATTTGGAGTTTTAATTTATCCATTAAATGGCATTTTACTGGTAATACATATCTTGAACACGCATTTTTCAAGTGTTTTTTCATGGACAACACACTCAAGAAAAGGTATTTTGTGGCAGACAAGATTAAACACAAGGCTGCTCACTGCTAAGGCTGCTCTTTAGTGCTGAGTCTCCTGAGGGCTGAAAGGAAAAAAAAAAATATCTGTAATCGCCTTTCTGCCTAGCAGTTGGAAAGCTCTGCAAATGAAGGAAAAAGGTTCTTGAACGTTTGGTAACATATATCTATATATCCAGCGAGCAAGCAAGAGAAGCTGTTCTGTGGACTCAGGATGCAAAGTGGGTAAGAAAAAGAATTCTTAAACAAATTGATGTAAGAAACAAAAAAGTGTTTATTCTTACCAAGTGTTAAAAAGGCAACTTGAATTTCCATTCCCAGGTATACACCTACTACATCTGAGACTCTTTTTTATACCTTAGTTTCTTCAATATGCATTGTAAAAAAAAGAAGTCATTTGAAAATCAAAAGTTGAGTAAAAACTAGTATTATGAATACAGTTCACATTTTAAAGTGAATGCATTACTATGTTCCCTGGCATAAGCTCAATGAATGAATACTACATGGAATGCTTTTCTCATTTTGATGGAACTGAAAAGTAAGCCTAGTGTCTACTACACTTAATATACAGCTACAGATATAGGCTTAGAATTAGAAATGGCTAAGCAAGAAAAAACAAGCAAATGAAAATTTCCTCCACTTTGATGGCTATTAATAAGGAACTAGGCCAAAGTTATACATGATTAGAAGAAGTAAATATAACAAAAAAATCAAAAAGGCAAGAAAGAACCAAGGCCTTTAACACATAGCAAGGGAAGCAGCTTGGTGCTCTTGATGTTCTTGGCAATGCAGGCAAACCTGCATCCTGCAGAAACAGGGGCAGGAAGATGATGTCTCTTCTATTTTTCAGGGGCTTGCAGAGTCTCTGGGTCCATGAATTTTAGAAGTTCATTTGATCTGCTAGAGAATCACAAGATGCATCTTAAAATTAGCTTACAAGTCAGTACAATACTGATGCTCGTGAATCAAAATGATGAAGAGATTTCAGTTTTGAGAAGGAATGTTTGTCAAATGGAAGGTGAGTGACAGTATTTTGAGCATGGCTGAGCAAGAGGAAAAAATATGTTTTACTACAAATTGACCTTGGGATACTAAGACATCAGTGACACAGCTATTTGTTTATAATGATGTACAGATGTAAGAGTAAATCTGATTGATTTCCAAGGATAGCTACATTGCAAGCAATTCGATGACACAATCAAATAGAGCAGTTAGAACTTATTGAGAGATGCAGTCCATCCGGGACACACAAACAAACCGCACTACTTCCACGATGTCAATATAAATGCTCAACTGTTTGAGACTAAATCAATGAATACATATGAGACACTTATGCACACAGCAAATCCTATATGCAGATTAGTTTTTATTATCATTGCTACGGTTAAATTCTTTGTGAGCTGTTAATCATTCATTAAAGCTGTGTATTAGGTACTAATACATGTTAGCTTAGAAACAAGCACTAGTCCTTGCTTTCATGAAAAGCGTTGCTTATATGATCAATACACAGGGGCGGTGAAGTGATTCATATGTCCCATCCTTCCCATGGCTTGCTACGTGGTTGTCATTAAAATAGCTCTTCAAAGAAATGTAGGCTAGCTTAAAATCAAAACATTTCCATGGCATAACAATACTCAGTCACAAATGAACAGCGGAGTGTCTGCACAAAAGGAATCACAATTACCAAATGGATTAAAATATTAAAGTCTGTAAGAATTTAAACAGATGTGAGAAATAGCACTGGTTGAACTAATCTGAAAATCGTGCCAACATTAACAGCTCCCTCTGCAATAAGCCAGAGACTGAATGGCTAAGGTTCTGAAGACATATGGAATGGGTTGAAAATGTTGAACTTGGTCATTGCTGTCTGAAACAGTAGCAGGTAATACATGAACAAGTGAGAGGCTGTGCTAACTATGACCAAACTTGGTTTACAAACCATAATTTGCTAACCTCTGTACCATAGTCATAAAACAGTGCTTAATTTCACAATCTAGGTATTATGCATCTAGTCATTTAAAATTTAATCTCTGTGGGCCCACCCCTTACAACGAGTATAGGAGAACTGGTCCAGAGTATGTAGATGTAGAAGAGATAGCTCTGTCACTCACTCAAGGGAGTGGCCTCCTTGACCTGGACTAAACTGTTCAGCTTCCACCCAGGCCCACATCTACCCCATCTATGACCTGTTGAAGCTCATGAAGGGATTGAACTATACAATGATATCTTCAGGATCTCCATGACTCAGGATAGCCATGGGTTACCCAAGATGGTTTTAGTGAGGACCCAGTAATGATGGTGTAGCAGAAACCAGAAACCTTGGACAAGACTAATGACTCTTTGCAATGAATATTTGCAAGTAAGGCTGATTGAACAAAAGGATATACTGTGACAAACTGTGACTCTCAATGCCACTAAGACAAATGAAGAGATGTTGTGGAGATGGGAAAGATGGAGGAGCAAAAGGTTTACTGTTTGATTTTTTTTTTGCTTGTTTGTTTGATTGGTTGGTTGGTTTGCTTTGGTTTTAATTTTTTAAAATTTTGGGGGGTATACTGCAAAGATGACGGCCAGATATAAGGGAGCTTGGACATGAGCAGAATAGGAGTACATGAAGTGAAATTCAGAAAGAAGCAATAAAGAAATTATGTTTTAAAAAAGGTAATCTCTAATAGAAAACAGAAGAATGTAACCTCATTAAAGAATTAGTATAAACATTTTTCTCAACAGTATGTTCCATATATATGTGGATCAGATTAGAATACAAAGATTATGACTTTCGCACAAATCTTATTGTAAATATTCATCTACTGAAACATCTGGATAATGAAATTTTAAATTGGCATTAGGTGTCCAAAACTAAATTTTCTCCATGTGTATTACAACTCAACAAGACACAGGTAAATGTTTAGCCTGTCAGATAAAAATGGCTTTGGGTCAACTTAGAAATGCAGAGCAGATGTTATGAAAACTCTTTTGGCTGAGTAACAAACCCTACTCCATTAAAACTCATTACATGATTGCCTCTTAATAACTCTGATCTAAGAGCAGGCTGGCAGGAAGAGAGGAGGATGTGTTACTGGAAGTGATGCACAAAGAGCAGCAATGGTAGGGCAAATAAAGAAGTAAAGTTTTAAGCTTTAGACCAATGGAACCCACTTGCTTGCTCTATGTTGAAACATTTTTGCTTAATAATGTGCCATTTTTCCCATTACCAAAATGTCAGCAACTTATTATAAGGGGACTTAACACCTACAAATGGCTTAGGCATGGGTAACAAATAACATTAGAATTTATTGTTTAAGAAACTAACGGCCTTTTGCAGTACAGTGTAAAACTCTAATACAGCAGAAGTTTCTGAAAGTGCACACATTTATGAAGGTGATATAAAGGAAATTCTCAAATAATGGGGAAGAAAGAGTTCCATCTAGACATCTCTTGTCACCAAAAGAGGTTTGCAATACCAAGAGTGGTTTACCTCTAATTGAGCTGTTAGCCAATGGGGTCTCATGAGAATAGACAAGAAAAAGAAACTCATGCTGTTGCCAAGACTATATAGGTTGCTCTCCACAAAATGACAACAAGGCCCCATTGCTAAAGGCAGCATCTATATAAGTCATTTACCATAGACAGGGCAAGCTCATGCCTACATAGAGCCCTTAACTCTACCTGCCAGCTTCTTTGACATAGGAAGGCAATCTACATGCTGAAAATGGAGAAATGTAAACACCAACTCAGTCACATAATCCTGGATCAACAATGGTGTCCTGCCTGCAAGATATGCTAGGACAATGGTGACCAAAAGATTGTGGGAGTAACCACCCAACATCTGATTTGACTTAAGACCCACTCCATGATGGAATCCATAAAGAAAACTGCTTGGGTGGCCAAGAACCTGACATTAGATAGCCCAGAGACCTAGGGTTAAACCAAACACCACTGGTCTAAAGAAAAAGGAAACATACACACACACACACACACACACACACACACACACACAAATGAGCACAGAAATAGCATTTTGCTAAACTTATAGATCAGTATAAAGCTTAGCCACCATCAGAGAAGCTTCATCCTGAAGCAAATGGGAGCAAATATAGACACCCACAGCCAGATAGTATATAGAGAGTGAGTGATCTTTGAATACTCAGCCCTAAATAGGATGTCACCATCCAACCCTTCTCTATTTGTATCATCTAATCCCTCTTTTTAGGGCTCAGGGAACCCTCTGGAAGGGAAAGCAGAAATATTGTGAAATCAGGAGGGAAGGAAGACTCTAAGAAAACAAGGTCTTCCAAATCGACATGAATAAGGCACCTGAACTCACAGAAACTGAGGCAACATTCCCTAGGCCTGCTAAGCTCTGCCACAGGCGCTCTGGGTGTACATCATGGCTTCTTGAGTATACATTATGGAATTCCTAAGTGTGTGAGAGAGTGTGTCTCTGATTCTTGTGCCTTCTCTTGGGCTCTTTTACTTCTGTTTATTCAATTTCAATGTGTTAGACTTTATTTTAACTTATTATATTTTATAACATGCTATTATTATCCCTTAGAAGCTTGTTTTCAAATGAGAGACAGAAAGGGAGTAGATATGTATGGGATGGGAGGAAAAGAGGAGCTGGGAGGAGTAGAAGTAGGAAAAATCATAATCAGTATATATTATATGAGAAAATATATCGCCAGTAAAAGGGAAAAAATCAAAAAAGAAAAGAAATAATTCAAATATAATCACAAGTACATACTATTTACAAGAGTATAACTTTAGGGTACAAAGTGCATTATTTTCTTCTACATGGGTCGTTATAAGATAGACATGCTCATAAGTTGTCACGGTAGCATTCAGTCTGCCTCATCCAAAAGCAGTCATAGTAATGCTAAAGCCCAATTTCTATAAAATTGCACTTTATAACAATCTATTTCAGTTGTTTCACCTATCATATAATGTGTACTAGCCATTCTTAATTTACATGGCTATGATTGGTTTTATTTTTCACTTCTGAAGACCAAACTCGAGATTTTGTGAATAGAAAGCTATCATTTCACCACCCAGACAGATTCTGGCCCTTTACTGTTCCCTTATTCAATTTCTTTAATCTAGAGATCAAATGTCTATGATGGGGAAATAGAAGAAAATCAGAAAGTATGACTATAATCCCTGGACTGAGATGTATAAATTGTATAACATTACATGGTTTATAACTTTTCTGAATATTTATTTCAGCCCTAAGACATAGGAAATAATCCTTAATCTATCTTTTCCACATGTTCATTATGAGAATCTCACAAGATGTCAGACTTACAAATATGTGAAATGTTAAAGAATGATGCCCAAGTGTGGGTTATTATTATTTGCTTATCCCATCATCATTTATATAAAAAATACAAAACTTGATGATTTAAGAGCTCAAGAAAAAAACCCTTGCCACATTTATAAACAATGATATGTAAACTGTAGACCAGAACTAAGACCAAAGATTGCCAAATAGAATTCAGTCTACGGATAAACCCTAGATAGTAATAATTACATTGAGCATGGAAGGTAAGAATTTCCAAAACTATGAATTGTCCACTTGCTTCAGCAGATTCTCATGCTGTACTTTGGTATTTAGCAGAGAATTAAAAGCTCCAAGACTCGTTAAAATATGAGGTTTACATACTACACAACAAGTTTTATATAGTGAATGAAACTACTAAGTCAGAAAATACTTTGACATCTGAAATTTAATCAGTGAGTTTGAAGGTATCTTATTTGTTTGATTACAATATAACAAGAGTGAAAGGCCTTTAAACACACACACATGCATTTTATATATAAAATATTAAGATACTACATACATAGTATCTGTGAGTGTGTGTGTGTGAGAGAGTGTGTATGTGTATGAGAGAGAGAGAGAGAGAGAGAGAGAGAGAGAGAGAGAGAGAGAGAG